TCAAAGTACTACTGGTAGGGTTTGCTAATGGGTTAGACATGAAGTGTGAGAGACAGGAGTCAAGGATGACTGTAAGACTTTTGGCCTGAGCAACTCAAAGATTGCAGTTGTCATTAACAAAGATGGGGAAGACTGAGAGGAATGGGGACAGAAGGGGGAATGGTTTAAGCTTGAGGTGCCTGTTTTATATCAACAGGAAATATAATAACATTTACCTGAAAGGTATTTGACTTCAGGACTGGTTTAATTAATGGATGATTTTTGACTGTGTATCCATCTCTACCTGTGTGGCTTTAAATAATTAATCATACAATGAGGATCTGATTCTTCTTAATCAGAGGTAAATCTAGACATTTTAATTAAGCTTATTTAAGCTGAATCAGAGATCTGTTTCTTGTATTTATATTGCTAGGATAAAAGCTGATTCATAACCAGATGAATCAACAGGTATCAGCTTCATTTTAGTGATCTGGAGTAGTGGGCACTTAATGAAAGTGTGGGCATCAACTTTTGTAGATAACTTTTTTGTGTGTGTGTGAGGAAGATCAGCCCTGAGCTAACATCTGCCAATCCTCCTCTTTTTGCTGAGGAAGACTGGCCCTGGGCTAACATCCATGCCCATCTTCCTCCACTTTATATGGGACGCCGCCACAGCATGGCTTAACAAGCGGTGCGTCAGTGCACCCAGGATCTGAACCGGTGAACCCCGAGCCGCCGCAGCGGAGCGCATGCACTTAACCGCTTGCGCCACCGGGCTGGCCCCTGTAGATAACTTTTTGACATCAATATCTAGAAATGTATGCGTGTTGCAATAATAAAGACTGTGCTCTTTGGATTCTTATGAAAGAAGAGTTATGTCTACATCTCTGACAGTGAACCTTTCATACATTAGGATCAGGCAGTTTATTAAACATCTTCAATTTAAACCTTTGTTTTTAGTACAGTCATGAATTGCTTTACAACAGGGATACATTCTGAGAAATGCACCATTAGGCAATTTCATCGTTGTGTGAACATCATAGAGTGTACTTACACAAACACAGATGGTATAGCCTACTATACACCTAGGCTATATGGTACTAATCTTACGGGACCACCATTGTATATGCAGTCCATCATTGACTGAAACATCATTATGTGGTACATGTCTGTACTATTAAAAAAGTCCAGATGACCTAGTGGGATTTATCCCAGGCATGCAAGGCTGGTCCAACATTCAAAAATCAATTAATGTAATGTAATGTAATGTAAACATCAACAGGCTGAAAAAGAAAAATCACATCATCAATAGATGCAGAAAAAGCATTTTACAAAATCCAACACCCATTTATGATAAAAATCCTCAGTAAACTAGGACTAGAGAGGAACTTCCTCAACTTTGATAAAGAATTTCTACAAGAAAATCTATAGCTAACATTGTATTTAATGGTGAGAAACTCAAAGCTTTTCCAGCTTAAGATTAGGTACAAGGCAACAATGTCCCCTCTAACCACTCCTTTTCAACATTATACTGGAAAGTTTAGCTAATACAATAAGTCAATAAAAGGTATACAAATTGAAAAGAAAGACGTAAAACTGTCTTTGTTCAATATGACATGATCATCTACATAGAAAATCTGAAAGAATCAATTAAAAAACTACTGAAAATAATAAGCGATTATAGCCAGGTTGCAGGATACAAAGTTAATATGCAAAAGTCAACCGCTTTCCTACACACCAGCAATGAACAAGTGGAATTTGAAATTAAAAACACAATACCGGGGCCGGCCCCGTGGCTTAGCGGTTGAGTGCGCGTGCTCCACTGCTGGCGGCCCGGGTTCGGATCCCGGGTGCGCACCGACCCGACACACCGCTTCTCCGGCCATGCCGGGGCCGCGTACCACATGCGGCAACTGGACGGATGTGCAGCTATGACATACAACTATCTACTGGGGCTTTGGGGGAAAAATAAATAAATAAATAAAATTAAAAACACAATACCATTTATATTAGCAAACTCCAAAATGAAATACTTAAGTATAAATCTCACAAAATATGTATAACATCTATACAAGGAAAACTACAAAACTCGGATTTAAAAAAATCAAAGAACTAAATTAATGGAGAGCTATTCCATGTTCATGGATAGGAAAGCTCAATATTGTTAAGATGTCAGTTCTTTCCAACTTAATCTATAAATTGAATGCAATCCCAATCAAAATCCCAGTAAATTATTTTGTAGATATTGACAAATTGATTCTAAAGTTTATATGAAAAGGCAAAAGATCCAGAATAGCCAACACAATACTGAAGAACAAGGTTGGAGGACTCACACTACCCGACTTCAAGACTTATTACTAGAAAGCTTACAGTAATCAAGACAGTGGTATTGGCAAAAGACAGACAGATCAATGTAACAGAATAGAGAGCCCAGAAATTGACCCATATAAATATAGTCAACTGATCTTTGACAAAGGAGCAAAGGCAACACAATAAAGATAGTTTTTTCAACAAATGGTGCTGTAACAATTGGACATCCACATGCAAAGATATGAATCTAAACACAGACCTTAGAACCTTCACAAAAATTAACTCAAAATAAATCATAGACCTAAATGTAAAATGCAAAACTTAAAACTCCTAGAAGATAGGGGAAAACCTGTATGACCTTGGGCATGGCAATGACTTTTTAGATACAACACCAAAGGCACCATCCATGAAAGAAATAACTGATAAGATGGACTTCATTAAAATTAAAAACTACTGCCCTGTGAAAGACAATGTCAAGAGAATGAGAAGACAAGCCACAGACTAGGAGAAAATATTTGCAAAAGACACATCTGATAATGGACTGTTAGCCAAAATATACAATGAACCCTTAAAACTCAACGATAAAAAAAACGATAAAAAAAAATGGGCCAATGACCTTAACAGACACTACACCAAAGAAGATATACAGACGGCAAATAAGCATATTAAAGGTGCTCTATATCATATGTCATCAGGGAAATGCAAATTAAAACAAGATACCACTACACACCTATTAGAATGGCCAAAATCCCAAACACTGACAACACTAAATTCTAGCAAGGACGTGGAGCAACAGGAACTCTCATTCATTGCTGGTGGGAATGCAAAATGGTACAGCCACTTTGGAAGACAGTTTGGCAGTTTTTTACAAAACAAAACATACACTTACCATATGATCCAGCAATTGTGCTCCTTGGTATTTACCCAAAGGATTTGAAAACTTATGTCCCCCCCAAAAACCTGCATATGGAGTTTATAGCAGCTTTATGCATAATTGCCAAAACTTGGAAATAACCAAGATCTCTTTCAGTAGGTGAATAGATAAACTTTGGTACCTCCAGACAATGGAGTATTATTCAGCGCTAAAAAGAGATGAGCTATCAAGCCATGAAAAGACACAGAGGAACCTTAAATCCATATTACTAAGTGAAAGGAGCCAATCTGCAAGGCTATAAACTGTATGATTCCAACTATATGACATTCTGGAAAAGACAAAACTATACAGACAATAAAAAGATCAGTGGTTGCCAGGGTTTGGAGAGGGAGGGATAAATAGGTAGAGCACAGAGGATTTTTAGGGCAGTGAAAATACTCTATGATACTATAATGATGGATACATGTTATTACATATTTGTCCAAACCAAAAGAACATACAACACCAAGAATGAACCCTAAGATAACCTATGGACTTTGGGTGATAATGATGTATCAATATAGGTTCATCAATTGTAACAAATGTACCACTTTGGTGGGGGACATTGATAATTGAGGCTCTACATGTGTGGGGACAGGAGGTATATAAGAAATTTCTGTACGTTCCTCTCAATTTTGCTGTAAACCTAAAACTGCTCTAAAACAATAGTCTTAAAAAAAAAAGGCCAGAGAGGCAAAATTCGACACAGTATTTTTCCATATTTATTTAGCTTTCTTTTAGCTAAGTAAGCACAGTTTGAAATATCTCATTAGTAATAATTTTACAATTCTGCAATTACAAATAGTATCACAACATGCATAAATAATGCTCTTGATACTACTTTACACATTTTTAAGACAGATTATCAATTAGCTTTGTGTTGAACTACTGTTATAGATAGCTAGAGAGTTACCAAATACTTAAACTACTGAAAAGGCTGAGTGAATTTTAATTGTAGTAATTTAATTATTAATCTTTAGATATAAAAGAGAATTGCTACTAAAAGTGTGAGGATCCAAGGGTTTTCCAACAAGAGAAAAACCTATTGTGAGAGGGTATAAACCTATGTTAATTAAATCAATTGGCTAATCACATTTTTTAAGAGGTCAATAAGGTAATTGAGAATTCCTTAAATACCTTACATATTATTACCATAATATTGTCAATTATATCATTGCAAGTTCACATAGTACAACATGTTGAACATGCTGAAAATTCCTTTTCTAAATCTGGTCATATTTGAACTGAATTATAACTTGTAACTGCTAATCTATGTAGGTGCTTGGTGAGCTACTTAACAAAGCAGTGCTGAAAAACCTGTAAATCTAATTTTGAGAGCCCATAACCCCTACTTCCAAATCCCTCTCTCCACTTCCAGTGAGTAAAATAGAATTTGGACATTCATTTCTATTGTAAGGTAAAAAATAATGGAAGTAGAACTCAAGGAAAGCACATGTGGGTCTCTTGGCCCCATGTTCCACTGTCTACCTGCCTAACATTGTCTTCAATACTCAGTTCTACTGCATCTGCTCTCAAGTGTTTCCCTCTCCACAGCCTCTTCTGTGAACATTGTAGCATTTAACACACTAAATTGTAATCACTGGTTTTGTTTGACCCTTGTATTAAGCAATTGAAGGCAGACTGTCCTTTCTCACTTCTATATTTCCTAATACTGGCAGTGTCTGGTAGAGGACCAATTTATTACAAAGATGCAAGGCTTCAAGAAATGAAAACTAGCATCTGAAATCTGAGTAAAAAGTGACACACATACAATTCTTTCCATCAACAAGATCAGAGATCACTATGTAGTATGGTACGCTTTATTTTGAAATTTTATGTGTAAAATTATAGAACTGTCAAGAAATAATTTATTTTTCTCCTTCATAGTAATAAAGGCTCCAACAAAGTATTTTCTATACCAGTTTATTCTTCATAAATAAATCACTATTATAATTGACTATCTACTGAAAAATTAAAATATTTGAACTTTTCTTTTTAAATACAGAGCCCTTCTTGATTAACAAAATTTGTTTTAATGGGATTTTATCTATAGTATCTTATACCTTAGACAAATAACTGTCAAAGCAAAGAGTCAATGACAAAGTATTCATGTAACTATATCACAGATCTCAAAAAACAGACATTCAGAAAAGATTTAAGGCTACCCAGTAATAGCCTCTCATAAAACTCAATGAACCTTACAACTGTAATTAGACTTCAAAAGGGGCCAAAATAGCACTTTCTGTTGAGCCAAGATTAGGAAAATCTTCCACTGTTGACACTTTCATGTTCTTAATTTTTCGATCAAATAATCAGCCTGTAATTAAAAAAATATTACATACTTTTTATTCTAGTAATCATAACCTGTATGAAATAATTCTACTGGCATTCCTATTATAAGCCACAGCAGAAGAGCTAAATACTACATATTTTGTTCCTAAAAATATCTTACAAAAAAAAAAATCTCTCAATATAATAGTTTTATAAACTATAAGTGAAGGTATTATTCTATATTGTATATAAATAAGCAGATTTTTATCCACATTGCATATTCATTAAAAAGTTGCAATAAGAGAAGGAAAATAAATGTAATACGATAGTTTTAAAAAGGAAACTAGACATGGAGGAACCTTACATGCATTTCACTAAGTGAAAGAAGCCAATCTGAAAAGGCTACATACTGTATGACTCCAACTATATGATATGCTGGAAAAGGAAAACTGCAGAGACATTAAAAAGATCAGTGGTTACCACGGATTACGAGGGGGAGATATTTGAAAAGGCAGAACACAGAGGATTTTTAGGGCAATGAAACTATTCTGTATGATACTATAATGGTGGATACATGACATTATACTTTTGTCCAAACCTATAGAATGTACAACAGCAAGAATGAACCCTAATGCAATCTCTGGACTTTGGTGATAATGATGTGTCAGTGTAGTTTCATGGATTGTAACAAATGTATCACTGTGGTGTAGGATGTTGATAGTGGCAGAGATTGTAAGTATGTGGAGACAGAGGGTATATGGGAACTCTGTGTACTTTCCATTCAGTTTTGCTGTGAACCTAAAACTGCTCTAAAAATAAAGTCTATTAAAAAATAAAAAGTAAACTAAAGTTTTCTAGTTACATCATTTCAGATACTTTTCTCAATCATCTTATGTATCTGGAACATTATATAAGAGATTCTGAAATAAACTTGAATATCTTTATCTTGATTTTTTTCAAGTCTCATAATATACTGACCAAGTCCCAGATTTAAGAAGAGTTCAGATTCCTAGGATGAACCATCAACAGATCTTATAACTTTGTTCATTCGTTTTTCTTTCCAACTAAAAAGTCATGTAAGGAAATACAGTTAAAAACATTACAAAAAAATATTTTTAATTACTTTTTTATTACAAAAGCATGGATCATGTAGAAAATTAGAAATACAAATAGAAAAAATCCCTTTTTTATCACACTGATTTTTTAAAGAGACCATTCTATCTGTCCTGCAGGATATCCCACATTTTTATTTCAAATTAACACACACACATATATAACTTAAATATATTTTGTAATTAAATAAAATCATTTGGACAACAAGTAGAAGAGAAGGACAATAAGTTTGAAATATGAAGTTTCTAGAAATCAGATGCTTTTTAATTTCTTGTGTATTATGACTATAATTATAATATGCATTAACTAATGGTAATTATTTAACTTGTAATTTGATGATTATTCAGATGGCAACTATGGTTACCTTATCATCAAGGACACACGAAATAAGAAACTGGTAAATTACTAGTCAAGTAGCCCTGGAAGGACAGAGTCACTTAATAACTAAAGCTTGACTGTCCGGTCACAAACCTATAATCAGCTGAATTCTGTGCTACTTTTGCCCTAGCAAAACAGAATTCTGCAATTTTTTAGGCTCAAAGCTTCAGCCTCAGGTCTGGTGGTTAATGCTACTTTTTCTAAGAAGTTTAAACTGACTATCAAAAATCACAAAACCTCAATTTCTACAATGATGTTGGTGATAATGATAGAGCCAGCAGGTAACATTTACTGAGCACTTACTATATTGCCAGGTACAGTTTTAAGTGCTTTACATGTGAATTATTTCATCAATCCTCTTCTCCACCCTAGAGGTAGGCACTATTACTTATATGCAGGTAATAAAGACATTGGGCCTTAAAAAGTTTAAGTAACTTGCACATGGTCCCTCAAGTAACTAATGGAGCCAGAATTTGAATCCAGATCTGACTCTGGATTCTGAACTATTAATGCCATGGTTCTTCCATATCCTATCCTCTGCTTGCAATGGAGAGACGTAGCCAAAGTTTCTCTTCCCACAGATCTGATGACCTGGAAAATCCCCCAAATTAAAAATATCATTTTGGATATGTGCAAGCAGTATGTTAAAACAGATGATCAAGTCTATGAGAGCTGTAAGTGCCTACTGTTGCCAAGAAAAGAAAAACTACAACAAAAGGGATAAATATTTTAAATATTTTTATATGCTGCTAGTATAACAGTAACACTTACTGTGATAAACCAATAGGAATTCACTCTATAAACCAATTTTGATATGAAGCCAAGCTGATCGACTGGTGCCAGTACATGAAGGTGCAAGTGGGAAATGGAACAGAATGGCGGCATATGGAAACCCATTCTAAAACAGAAAGGTAAGAGATAACGGACTAATCAGTTCCACAATAGTTTAAAGCTATTTCTTCTGGTTAAAACACATAAATATTAAAGCTAACCAAAACAGGTTGCCTAAGGTAGACAGATTACCACTCAAACATCTCTTTTATTGTTTTTCTTTATACATTTCAGAGCATTCACACAGTTCCTCTTCTTTTCACGTTGAAGTTCACAATAACATAAACTCTTCATCAAGGAAGGCCTTAATAGCATATTTATGCCTCAGTGTAACCTTTAGGAATTCTGAGTTGGCATTATGTCTTATCACTTCAGTCCTTATATTAAGCTTTAATTCTCCTAAGATATGCCTCTACAATGAATCTTAAGAAAAAAAATTACTGGAGCCAGCCCTGATTGCCTAGTGGTTAAAGTTCAGCGCACTCCACTTCAGCAGCCCAGGTTCAGTTCCTGGGCATGGAACCACACCACTCGTCTGTCAGCAGCCATGCTGCGGTGGCCGCTCACAAAGAAGAACCAGAAGAACTTATAACTATACGCCACTATGCACTGGGGCTTTGGAGGAGAAAAAAAGAGTGAGATTGGCAACAGATGTTAGCTTAGGGCGAACATTCCCCTGCAAAAAACTAAAAGGCTCAATCAAGCCAAATAATTTAAAAAAAAAATTTACTGGACACTCAAGTAGAAGAAGGGTTCCTCTATTCCAAGACATAGCCAGTAAATGGCTTGCTTTCTCCTTGAATAAAGTGGTCAATCATTTCCTTACCAGTATTTCAGTAGTGAGATTAATTATGTCATCATTAAAAGAAACTTTATCATCACTTAAGTTTCTTGTTTAATACTGAAAGTTAGATGATAATAAATTTTTTTAATATTTATTTTTATTTCTATTTATTTATTTATTTATTCCCCCAAAGCCCCAGTAAATAGTTGTATGTCATAGTTGCACATCCTTCTAGTTGCTGTATGTGGGACGCGGCCTCAGCATGGCCGGAGAAGTGGTGCGTCAGTGCGCGCCCGGGATCCGAACCCGGGCTGCCAGTAGCGGAGCGCGAGCACTTAACCGCTAAGCCACTGAGCCGGTCCCTGCTTTATACAACATTTATAAAAGAATTCCTTTGACTAGTAAAAAAAATTTTTTTTAAATATGATTTAACCTCTTAAAAATCATTTTACAAACAGTTTCGTAAATCCACTTATTCTCAGTGGAGCCGGGCACACCTGTAACAATAATATAAGCCTAGAAATATTTGCCTTTTCAAACTAGAACTGATTGTCAATTAAAAAAGAAAAAATACTAGAAGTGAGTGGGAATGTGTGAAGAAGGCACAGGAGAAGTGCTATATCGCAGCCATACAGGACTGACAATGTGGAGTCAGATACACATCACACGCTAGAAAGCTTCCACCACTACCTAGAAAAGAGGACTAGGTTTTCCTTCTATGAAACAGGAGTCACATAATGTAGAATCTAGTAATCCAAAAGCTAGAAGCACCTCAGGAGTTCACTCAACCCTTTCATTTTAAAGATAGGGAAGCCAAGATCCAAAAAGTTTAAGAGCCTTGCCCAGGTCGCAAAGTTGGGCAGTGGTGGAGCCAGGAGTGAGACTCGGGGCTCTGGACCACTAGTCCAACGTTCATTCTCCTCATAAGCACTCCTACGACTGGGAAGGGAATGTGCTGCTTTTGGCCAAAGGGTCTCAAATACCATCTGATCTTTGCCATTATCATCCTTGGATAGTGCTTAACAGTTTTCAGAGGATTTTCACACAATCTCATTTGAGCCTTACATGTAGGCAGAGCAGATGTTATCTTGGAGAGGTTAAACGACTTGTCTGAAGTAACACAGCCAGCACAAGTACAGTACACAGCAAGTAGCATGGATAGCATTGGAATTCAGGTCTCTCTGAATTCCAGTTCAGAGGTGTTAGAAGTAATCTACACTATACCTGCCTTGGTACTGCTTTGGACACAAAAGGCAAAGTCAGAAGTCTTTTAAAAAGCAAAATGGGCAGGGGAGACCAGCCCACTGCCATAGTGGTTAAGTTCGTGCACTCCGCTTCAGCGGCCCGGGGTTCATAGGTTAGGATCCCAGGCACTGCTTATCAAGCCATGCTGTGGCAGGCGTCCCACATATAAAGTAGAGAAGATGGGTAAAGATGTTAGCTCAGGGCTAATCTTTCTCACCAAAAAAAATAAAATAAAAAAAAATAAAAAACACTGTTAAGATTAATTAAAAGAGTTGCCAAATTGAACATTATGTGCTTTTGCTCAAACTTTGGCAAATGCCCAAGTTCAGCAGGCAAGGAATTCAAGTTAATTTCATGCCCAAAGTGTAATAATGTATTTTTAAATCACATAAAATTTTTTGTAAGAAAATTCAATTTACACAATTTTATAGGAATGCACATATTGAACAAAGAAAAGTGGACTTTTAACTATTTTACCTACCCACTGCTTGAATATACTTGTCTGTCCAAACTATAACTGGTGATTATTGGAAGATGTTGAGACATGAGAGGAAGAGGTTTATTTATTAAATTTATACTACTAATGAACTATATGCTCAGTTCAGGAAAACTGCATTTAAAACATGAACTCTGCCACCTCTGCTTTCATTTGTCCATGAGGAAATAACATTTCAGAAAAACCAAATGTGTATATGGGTTTCTATCTGGAAGAATACATACCTCACATTTTTGAAGTCAGTGAAATTATTCTTTTCAAGAATGGTTTTTCCAGCAGTTACCATGTTCTCAACTATAAAATAGGAAAGAAACTACATTACACTATAGGAGACATTAAGTTCACTAAATCGTTATTAATCTTAACTTCTAGGGTCCTAGTCAAAAGTCATATCAAATGGGTGAACATTTAAAGATACATTCAACGCTCTAAGTTACTGAGAAGTTTGCTTATCAACAGCTGAAATGAAGGTTCAATCTATCACAAAATATCACACATAGGCTGACTTTGAACAGTTGTTGAAGGGTACTAGCAAGTGATCATGTAGGACATATGATCCTACTGAGGTCTAATTCTAATAATAAGGAGACCAAGTAATCAAACAAAAATTGTTTGAGAAGAAAATAGAGGGCCGGCCCCATGGCTTAGTGGTTAAGTGCACGCTCTCCGCTGCTGGCGGCCCAGGTTCAGATCCCGGGCGCTCACCCACGCACCGCTTCTCCGGCCATGCTGAGGCCGTGTCCCACATACAGCAACTAGAAGGATGTGCAGCTATGACA